CAATCGGTAGCCGGGCAAGACAATTTGTCAGCAAACATCTTCCCAGTCTTGGGCATTACGTGCCAATGCAACGTCAAATTGAATTCTTTGCCGCGAAGATTGTGTCCCTGCACAATGTATGAAGATCAATTTCATATCTAGCAGTAGAAGAGGCCTGAATTTGTGGTGTGTATTTCACGAGATGCAATACCTGATCAACAAACCGGTACTTATTTGAAGTTTGAATCCAGAACTGCGCATGCTCTTTTGCAGGTATTATAGCATCCCAAAGGGAGACCTGTTGCATAACATTTTTTAACTAATCAACCAACCATAGTGTACATAACTTCCAACTGAGGACAAACTAGGCATGCCCAGCAGCTCAAAATGCTAATCCAATTTCATTCTAGCCTGTATTTGCTAACATATTAATCGCGCAAACAAATTAAAAGATTAAGCGCCAAATACCCAAAAGTAAATGCATGCAGATGTAGTGGAGCTCACCTGGTTCATGGAATTCTTTGGAGTTTCATACTCAGCTGCGACAAATATGAAAAGCTGCAATTTCCAACAGTTAGATCCTTCTCACGACGACCATCATCTCAACAAGAACATCTTACGTACACATCTTAACAGAAAACATTATGTTTTGGGAAATCCATATAGGAGGAAATTTTCTGTTGAAGTTGTTTAATACAACAACAAATAGACAAATAAAAAGATATTGATATATGTAAGTTGAAATCCCCTTAAGTTTATTCCTTAAGACAAAAAATATCACCCAAAAGAAAGCACCAAGGAAAGAAAAGTTAGAATATCAATAAGAAATAATATGACCAACAAAGACCTGAAGTCTATTCCTAAAACAAAAAATATCACCCGAACGAAAGCACCAAGGAAAGAAAAGTTAGAATATCAATAAGAATTAATGTGATGAACAAAGTGAATGAAGATCTGTGAGATAACAAACCTGCTTCGTGTTCCACGTAAACAACGACTGCAAGTCAGCTGTTATATTCAATGTTAGGCTGACCTACACAACATAAGATGCATTTGGCTTAGAACTGAACTTATAGAAAGCATATAAAAAAATAACCAGAGAGAGAGATAAATAGAACCCTGACTGTGGAGTAACAAAAAATTACATTGCAGAGAACAAATTAAAATGATATTAAGAACCAGCTAACCATACTCCTACTAAAAATCCGAAATCTATATTTGTCAATATTATTTTCATCCATTAACTATGATGATATTCCACTTTATCAAAGATGTGAAGATTGCAACTGCAGACACTCTAGAAAGTAGTCCACAAATACTTGGAGCTTCCCCTATGGACCACAAGGCTCTATAGCTAAAATGGTAGGTATTTTCAAACAAATAATGTTCCAGTCTATGACACACCACAACCCAATAATAAAAGAGAACTAGAGAAGGAGATATGCAAAAATATACCTTGGTTATATTTCAGCATGCTGATATAGTTCCCTCTTGGGTTTGGAAATCAGTCTATGCTTAAAGTCTAAGAAAACAGTAAGAACCAATGTGTGCAAAGAAGTACTGCAATGACAATACTCCCAGCAATTGCAAAAACTTATACATCCTATAGTTTTCAGGAGACAGGTCTGTTCTCAAGTTTATATCAATCAGTGATTTGTTTTAACCAAATCAATTATTAGGTAGGGGTAAGCAACATTACAAAACATAACCGGGCACCATCCGAACCGAGACCAAACTAGAAAGAAATTGGAATGAAGACCGGACAGGTATAATTTCAGTCGGGACCGGACTGGTATTAGCAAATACCCAACCCACCAACTTCCTTTTTTTAAACATAAAGTGTGAATTGTATTGATATAGGAACCAAAGAAGCGCCACTCATATGCAAAAATTTACAAAGCAATCAGTGTATCAATAAGTCTGCTAAATCCTTCATAGAACAAATAGGACAACCCCGTAACAAATAACCAAGAGTCTAAAACCATCTCTTCTTAAGGATATCAAAACTATTTACATCCTCCACACCATCAAAAACTCCTCTACTCTCTCCTTCCACACCACCCATAAAGTTTAAAGAGAATTCAATTCTTTCTTAGGTTTCCTGTGCGAAATTCTGATATACAAAAACATATAATGCAAGAGCAAAGAAAATCAGTGCCCATCAATATAGAAATATTCACGACATATCAATAAAATCTTCAACCACAGACTGGTGCAGATACCAACTTGAAGGTACGTGTCAGAAAAGACAAACACATCCAAGGTAGGAGACACCTAAAATTGAAATAGTTCCACAATACACAAACTAATGATCTCGCAGTTAACGAATACTTCACTTCACTTCACATGAAATGAGCCATGTAGAAAAGATCCCTTTTCCAAAAAGCTAAATAATAGAACCTTAAACTGTAATCCCCTCCTTGTGCAGATAGCCATAGCCACATTGCTCATCTAGCACGCATCTAAGAACAAGTAACAATACATGATCCTAAATAGAAAACCTTTTAAAAAAGTTCCACGCTCCCGCTAAATGAAATTAGATCAGCTTCAATCCAACAATACTCACAAATAAACGAAAAACCCAGAAGCCTAATCGTTTATTAAGCACATACCAAACTTAATTACGTAAACACCCGGCACAGCTAAAAATAAATACAACGAAAAGAAATACGAGAGAGAAATCATACCTCATCGTTTCCATGCGGCTGCTTTTGAAACCAATTAACGTTCAATATCTACAATCACCAAAGACAGAGGAAAAACCCAAATCAATAATTATCTAGGGTTTCAGAAATCCCAAGAAAAAACCGAAAGCAAAGAAAGCGACGCATAGATCTATATAATACACACACTCATAAGTTTCCTATGTATGAACATACAATAACATCTATAGACGCGAAGCGAACAAGAAACCTGGATTTCAGCAGAGGGAGAGGGAGAATTAAGGTTGTCGGAGAGGGAGGCAATTGCGCACATAAACGCCAGAATAGTCACTGCGAACGTGAGCAAGGCGTTTGCTCTGTACCCAAACGAGTGCATTTTAGCTAATGGCTTTCTTCTCCGTGTGACCGATGAAGCCGGCGTTTGCTTCTCTACGCTCCGCGAGAATTCGTGTCTGATTCTATGGCTTTCTTCTTCAGTTTCGGGTCTCTGGACAAGTAAAAGCAAGCAGGCACGGCGGGCGGTAAATTGTTTTTTAATTAATTTTTTTAATACTGCGATGCTGCATTTTGATTGGACAAAGCACGTATGCTGAAATAAATTAGCTGATGTGGCAAACTGAGATTGGCTTGACTTGTTCACAGGTCAACCAAAAACTTGAATATTAACCCTTTTATTAATTAAATTACCAATTAACTTTAATTTAATTCATTTATATGGTGTAAATTATAACAAAAAAAAATTGAAACTAATTTTAATATATTATGGCATAATTCAATAACTAAAACAACATTTTGTCTTTTTTTTTTTCAAATAATTCAGTGGATTTTTAGTAAAATTAATATATTTTAATAATTAAATTAATGTCCAATATATTAAAAAATAATTTTTTTTTTGAAAAAACAAAGTATAAATTAAATTAACAAACAAAATTATTAACATAATATTCTATATTTATTACAAATTCTAAAGAACACCACTATATAAACTCTATTAATCATCTTAAATTTGTATCAAACTTTTAAAAAGCAATTAAAGATTATATTGTATACTTCAAAAAATAATTTCTTTACGTTTTCAATTCTTCAAACCACACTCATTATATAACATTTAATATATGTTTCTTACATGATATCTAAACCCAAATGCATGTTTACATTTGTTTTATTCCATATATATATATATATATATATATATATATATTCACAAAACACACATGTATAAGCAACTCATATACATAAAAGCAGTCTTTTTTTTCATCTCTATGGAGTAGTTGCAGAAACACTGAAGTTGAAATTAGAACAACTAGTTCTTCGAAGAAGTAACGAAGAACTAAACCCAAGTCTTGACTTAACCAGCTCGAATTGCACTAGATTGTCCTCCATCTGATGAGCCCCAATGATAATGGCTTTCGTAGCTTGCAACCCTCCATCTACAAAACTCAAGCACATCACCCCTGGTTTAACTTCTTTCATGGAGTTTGCACCAGTAATTCTCCAATACACATTTGGCTGATGCAGAACAATATCTATGTTAGGGACATTCGGTGATCTAAGTTCGGTACTTGAAAGTTTTCTGGAATCATAGCAAACTGTAAAAGGTTGTACATTCTTGACTCGAGGGATACCAGAGAGCTGTTTTGTAAAAGTTTGAATGAAGGGTTCATAAATGGAGTGATGGAGAACTGTGTAAGGTTCAGTCGTGCTCATTTTTGTTCCTCCATACCCATTTTTGTCCATGGTTAACAAGGAAGTGTTGTTCACTGGGACATGCTCATTGTTTACTTTGATTGAAGTTACTTGAATGTGATATTCTCCTTGTGGGTTGATTATTAATGGAGTGTAGGTTAAAGATTGCGAGACATCAATACCGGGTTTCAAGATTAAAGGTCCTTCACCAAAGAAAATGGCACCAGTGCTAGAGGTTGAAGAAAGGCAGAGGGAAAATCTTGGTGGAAATCCAAAGTGGGAAGCTAATTGGATCGGGGGAGCAATTGGGGCATGTCCTAAACCAACCACACCTTGGACATAACTGGGTAACCCTCGTCTTAACAATTGAGATGGTGCACAAGCAAAAAGAAACTGAGGTACAGTCACCATGGGACCAAGATTGGAGCCTTGAATTGATTGAAGCGTGAGCACATCTTGTGCAAGCTCGCTCGTGGCAATCTGTCGTGTGACTGGATTTACAGACATAAGCCCACATGTGTTATTATGGCAACCTGGTCCAGGCTTGGAGGTGGAGCATGTGCGGCAGAAATGACTGTTAGCTCTTGAGCACTGAGTTGAGTGACAAAAAGGAGCCCGGTAGGTTGATGACAAGTAGTTTTTCTCGCAAGAAACCCACAAGAAGTTGCTATCTAAGTCTACCACAAGCGCAACTTCTATTAATGGAGTTCTCTTGTGTAGTGCTGTCGTGTAAAGACCAGTTGTACTGTCTTTAAGTACTGGTAAAACAAGTTTTCTTGGCCTAAAACTAGTAGTTGCAGATTCTGATGGATTAAACAAGAAGAAGAAGAAGAAGGAGAAAGAGAAGAAAACTGTAACAAGAAACCTAACCGGAAATGCCATTTTAAGACAAACCCAGAAAGCTTTGTATCTATGGCAAAGAAAAAAAGAGCAAGACTCAATGAGCTTTATAGTTGGTTCGTTTTGGAATCTTGTGTACGAGATGTGTCTTTTGGATTTGAGTCGTAATGAGCTAGCTAGCCGACGACATATACATATATATGGACTATATTGATGATGAGAGAATGGAGATTGTTATGTGGGTTTTAAAAATGGTGGATTCACAAACTTCACATGCTGGTTTTTTGGCAAAATCAGGCGAAAGAGATGAAGATGTTGAGAAGAGAACAGAAATTGGGTTGGTGCCATTAAATTGCCACTTGGCAGATTGAAGAGATACCAAAAGCTTGAGCTTGCCACATAGCATCTTTTATGGGTTCACAACATATACTTTAGTGTTAGCCCAAAAATTTTGTCTAATTATAAATTTTCTTCTAATTAATCTTAATTTGGATTATTAATCGATATTTAATCCTTTTTTATTATAATTTAATTTTTGATATTTTCTATTTATTTTAAATATTTTTATTTTTTTAATAAAATAATTAAATTATATTTAAATATTTTAAAAAAATAATTCATTAATTAATTTATAATTTAATTAAATGATATAATTATTTTTGAGCTATTTCTTAAAAT